CGAGGATGAGTTTGTATCATCATTGTATACTAATACATAATAAGTATCAGCAGAGCGACCAAGCAGCTATGATAGGGGATACCAATTCACCAGCTACTGGTGAATGTGGGTCCAAGAATCTTCTACCGGTACGCCCTGCTTAGTATATTGGCACCACGTCTTATCAAGAGAGGTTCTAGGAGAAGGGTTGATAGCAGAAGCTCTTGTAGAGAGGTTGGACTGGAAGTTAGTGACGGCAAGTCGGTTACTCGACTAGAGACGATTCAAAATAGAGTGATAAGATAAGTTGACGCTGTGGCCCAGGAGGGGTAGTCACGGTAGAGTAGAAAATATAACTTACCAAAAGATTGAAAGTTGAGATTGGCTGTCGCAGCAATCATATCAACAGGACTATGACATCTGGAAATCAAGGTCTTCTCGTTCGTCACATCTGTGAAGGAGACCGCGTAAAGCTTGAGAGTAAACATGATGGGTTTACATTACATTTTCTACGGAACCGTTTGAAAAGGCGCGGGCGGGTTGCGCCGTTGCGAGACTCGGCGCGGTGAGACTATTACTCACATTCAAAAGTCAACACAGAAGGCTACACATTTTCATAACTATTCCAGATAGTACGTCTGCATGAGGAGAGCATCACCCCAACCCAGCGAGCAGTGAGCGTCATAGGCTTGAAAGTCGATACTACTGATCCGGAGAAAACCAAGTCTAGACATCGCAGATCGGATGACGCTCAATTGCTTCCGACGCAGTCGGCCCTCGAGATCGGGTTACTTACCAAATATTCAAAGTGACTCCACAGCGACGGTCATTCAACAAAGTTCATTACGACCAGTTGCTTCCAAGCATCGCTGGACAAACTCGCAGGATGGGTGTACGAGCTGGTGTTGTCGTTTCCATAACCTCCTTCTTACTCGGTCAGTTTATTTTTTTTACGACTTCCTCGGCATCGACGTGTCGTGTTAACACCTACCTTTCAGGTTCACTCTTTACTCATTGGATTGCAGACTCTCTGACTCTGTGGAAGTCACCAGTAACTGACGAGCATTTGTGGACCGCGGCTCTTTACTACTCGATACTGACCAAAGGTCCCGTGCAAATCCTCTACGTTCTCTTTGGCATCATTATACTTGGCGGAACAACCATCTTTTGGAGTTTCAATGATTTGGAAGCGGGCAACTTGATGTTTGACGGAGGGAGCATATGTATGTGTTCTGCTCAAGTTCTCCATAGAACGTTTGTCACTTATTCTATTTCTTAGTCCTCTACGGCGTTGCTGTCATCATGTATGCGTACTCCGTCATTCCCAGTCAGTCGAATCATAAAACTATGAGTTGCGATACTAAAGATATTCATCCCAGATCTCATGGATAAGTTCACAGCAATCCCGCCCTACCATATGAAGGACGCGTTTCCACGTTTGCTAAGAACACCTACTCTTGACCTCGCGTCAAACCACCTCGTTTGCAGCGTAGCGTTGACAGGTGTCCTGATACTTCAGGCTGGTCGGTGGTGGGCTGAACTATCCGACGGTGATGACGACGAAGACTATCTCTCTGAAAAAGTTGAAGACAGTAACGCTGTTGAGGAGCCAAAGTCAATAACTCCCCTCGTAACAACCGCATGATGAAAGCCACCTTTCCGCACATTATCTTCATGCAAGACTGCTTCCCAGTTATCCACACCTCTAGCACTCGTGCGTGCTCAAATTTCAATCCACTGTTGGAGAGTCTGGCCCCATCTAATACCCTTCACGATCATCGCACATGGCATATCTTGGTTCCCAGGTCGTCACATCTTCGTGCGGCAACAATGCTTCCATTGCGCACTGGACGAGTACTATTTACAAGTCGTTAATGATATATCATATAAACACGATGACCGCAAAGACTTGAATAATGACGATATTTTGGAGATTCCAGAACGATCCACACGATCCACCCGCTTTTGCTGGCCGAAGCCTCAGTACTAAGTTCTTATGGTACGTATGGATAATAGAGTTGTGCTCTAGTCTATGTGTAAAATGTTTGAACGAGCCTTTACTCCTGGACGATGTCCTCCTTCCTCGGTCTCGAGTCCTTGATTTCTTTGCCTTGACCTATTAACGTTTGGGCTTCATCATCGATCTCGATACCTAGCCTCACGATTAGATCATGTCCCCAATATATGACCAGGTTGCTCACCAAGGCCCTCTTCCTTTACAAGACCAAGTACGTGCTCCAGCTCCACAAACCCATCTTTGTCGACATCTAGCTTTTGGATCACTGCTTGTCCAACTACGTCGTCAGGCTTGTGCTTGATCACAGCGAGTGCCTTTTCCAAGTCCTTTACAGGTATGCGTCCTTGTGGATCTGCAGAGAACATTTGCAAGGAATTACCAACACGTGAATCGTATTCTTGCAATTGAGTGTCGATTTTTGTGAGCATTGTCCGGATACGTTTTGTTAGCGCCCCTGAAGGTGACTTGGGATCCTGAGTGAGATAATTAGTATGGAAATTGCAACAAAATTCAAAATACTACCTCTTCCGCCTGAAGGTTCTCCTCCATGAGGGCGCGAAGCTCATCACGTTCTTTCAGGACGCTAGACTGTGCTGACAAAATCGACAACGCTTCGCCAAGCTCCTTCAGTTGCTCGGTGGTCATACGAGCATTCTCCTCTTCGAACCGTTCCGGATGAAGCTGCACCATGTAAATTAAAACATAGAAGCTAGGGTTTGAGGGTCAAACTCACCTCAGTGTCAGGCAGAAGAGATTGTGCGGTGCGTGCTTCTGACTCATCGGCCTCACGCTTGGCGCGGCGCGCATCTTCTTCCTTTTGTTCCTGCTCCTCTTCATCTTCAATGAGCTCCTCTTGCTGTTGTAGAACTTCGAGCTTCTGTTTGTAGCTAGCGCTGTCCGAGTCAACCTCTAGTTCAGCCTCATTTAGCTGAGAGCGGACAGCGTCAATGATGAAGAGGAGAGTAAAAGGGAGTACGAACCAAGTTATCTGGCAATCCGCTCAGGACACTTTCAAGGCTCTTAATGACAGTTGTTTTTCCATCTTCATCTTCACCAGGCTTGCGGTCGAAATGAAATGCTCGCCCAAGAATCAACAGTACACCAGAAACACGATTATGAAGATGCAGGTGAATCCACGTAGTCAACTCGTCCCGGAGTCGTGCAGGAGAAACACCAGTGGTACGAATACCACGCGACTGGCATGCAGCTTGCAACTCCGAAGTCGACAACTCATCGACACCTTCTGAGTAAATGACTTGATCGTCTCGGCGAAGATTCATGAGACGGGAACGAATGGCACCCCGAAGGAAATTGTCTGTGCCGAATGCATTGACGCCCATGTATCGACACATTGAAACGAGTTGCGGCCGAGACAAGTTATCAAGAGTAAGGTCATCGTCAAAGAGCTTAGCAACATTGATAATATCCGTTGCAGAGGGTGACTCTCCAGTGGAACGGACCCTCCTGAAAAACTCTTCGAAGGCGTCCGAGCCTACTATGTGGGCATTTGCCTTTAAGCCAGACTCTCGCAACGTTTCCTGGAGGAACTTTGCCATTTCAAGTCTCACTCGGAGGAGCTTTCGTTGTTTCTCTTCCTACTTGTGTATTAGCCAAGCGAAAGGAGAAAATACGTCATAATGCCTTACAGCAGCAAATTTGTCTTCAAAAGTCGAGGGAAGCATATTGGGGAATAGTTTCAAAGCAACAGGAAGTAGGAGCTCCATGAATGGCACAATGATGAAAACAGCGAAGGGTACGAGTCGAAGCAAGTCCTGGGTCGTACGCTTTAGCTAGATACCAATTACCATAAACTTAGCCGTCAGCGGTGTCAGAGATAATATGCTCGCCTGTCGCCGTTCTCTTCGGGTCAAGCTTTCTCCATGAAGAATCTTCCACTGCAGTCTGGCGGAGATCCTGACTTCCGAAACAAGTAGCTTCGAGCCATGCCAATAGTGCGCCGCTTCGTGTTTCACTTTTTTCCAAGCCCGAGTCATGAACGGTGCGTCAGAGGCAGGATCCTTAGGTGCAGGGGATGCGGCCTTTGGTTCAAGAGTGGATGAATCGTCGGTGACAATTTTAGTCGTAGCATCACGGCTTGCAGGAGCAGACGAAGAAGTTGATGTGCTCTGGGAGCGGTGCAAAATAAGAGCATAAGTTACGGAGTGCGGTGAGACAATGCGAGTACGTGGACCCAGAGAAAAGTAACGAGTGGTTCGTGCTTCGATGAGTTGACGGCTATAACACCGCACAAAGGCAGCTTGCTGGGTGCGCGGTAGCCATACTGACATGGACGTTAAGAGAAAAATTGAAGAGTTCTAGCTGACTAGATTACTGGTCAACCATAAAATTCGCGGAATAGCACCAAATTACAGCTGTTTTCAAAATTATGCGGAATCGCAAATCGTTTGTAACTGCGTCTCGGATATGCCCGGGCTAGGACCCCGAAAGTGTTTGAGTCTTAGCGCTAAGTCATTGTACATAGACTTCGAGTACACCATACCGCTGCGCACTGTTTCAACAGATCTGAAAGCTCGCATCCCGATCTTACACCAACATGGACGCTCAGTCCGAAACATCTGCTATTTACTTGGTGTCAAAAAGACATTCGTATACAAAGTTATCTGGTTATACAAGCACTTCCCAGCTAGTTCGGTCCACGGCAGCACTACACGGTAGCGGTACTGCGAAGCGCCAATCCCCGACTTCAATGGGCAATCCGCGCCAGGACAAATTTGATTTCCACGATGGGGTCACAGCCACCAGTGTGCTTTGAGCATGATACATTATGTCATGATGAAGAACATGGCATTGGGACCGCCACAATGCTCGTAGAGCATAATCTCAAAGGCAAACCTTCTTATTTCGACATATATAATGGCTTTTTCGGCAATTGTCTTCTTTGATTCTGTACCCCCTTCCGGGCAATTTCTACTTTATACCACCATAGGGGAATACAGAGCAGTAGCATTACTGCCGGGTCAATAGCTTCCATGTCCCACTGACGCTACAAATCACTTTGTGAATCTTGATTCATTGGCTCAGTCCCAATTGTCATTGAGAGAGTTGTCTTGAATTTCTCGCAGTCACCCGGTGCACTAAACAGACTGGTATTATGTAAGCAAATTGGACTTTTGGTGATATAATGAATTATGACTCGTTATCGACAATTCTACATGGCGGCGCTTTGGAGACGACTTCCGATCATCATGATCAGGATCAAATATCAACTTTAGCATCTCCAAGTCATGCTCCGTCGTAATCTTGTTCCCATCCCGCGCATCATTAGGACGTCGAATATCCTTCCAATTAACACGTATTGGATAGTGGGTATTGTGCTCCAGTCCAGCCCAATCGAAGTCGAGCAGCATGAAGTCTTTTGGGTTTTTTACAATAAAATTGGCATCCTGAAGGTCGCCATGAACGTAGCCGGCTGCGTGTAAGTCCTGGATGAGAGAGGTGATGTCATCCTTCAGCGGCTGGCGGTCCACAACAGCCATCTCACTGAGCTGTCGATATGAGCCAGGCTGTTGTGGGAAGTTGTCATGATCAATATCAAGGGCATCCATAACCACCATATTCCAGCCGCCGGGTAAAGTGATTATAGGCGATAAGTTTGGGAGTGCGCCCCTTGCCGACACAGAATGCGTGGGCCCCAGGGGAATAGTGCTGGACAAACTTGATACATATCTTGCTCCCAGCCGCATCAGCCGACAGTTTCCCCGAAGAAGATAAGTCGATCCCTGAGGATCTGAGTCTCATCATACGAGAATTCTTGGATGCCATTGGTTGAGGTTGAATTGATATAACTCCGAGGATAAGGATATCCTGGAGATTGATTTTTGGATTCGACAGTCGGAATATGACAGGAGTACAGATCTGTGAGTTTCTCGATGGCGATTTTGAGAGCCCCCAAAGCACGAGCCGCCATCAGTTGCAAATGGAGGTCTGTCGAATGCCCAAACAGAGGAATGATAGGGACCAGGATATCAGACTGGAGCTTGTGTGTTAAAACAGAGCCTGCAAAGCCTAATGCATGCCCCTAGTTGTGGTCAATAAAGGGTTTTAGCAATAAATCTGATGAAATGAACTAACCGAAGACAATGATATGGATGCATGGAAAGACAGACCAGAGGTTGGCTATCTCACTTTTCGACTCTTTCATAAACTTGCGGTGGTACAACATTGCCTCCAGGAATGGTTCGGCAGTGCCGCTTCCAATCTCGTTCTTCCCCTCCAGTATTACCTGCACAAACATTCCGTCGGAGGACATAAGATGTCCGTCTGTTATACATTGTGTCGCGCCAACCATAGAAGGATTGAGTATGATACCGTACTGGCGGAGCACACATTGAAATGCATTCATCCGCGCGAGCTCATCCTTATAGAAGGAGCACATCGTTTCTGAAAGTTGCCAAACAATGTCGTTATTGTCGTTAGTTGGTTGTCAATTTTGACAATCATCCATGAACTCGGCGAAGATACGCTCGAGAAGAGTGACCAGAACTGGGTCCGAGGCTCTGCGAGGACGATTGCAAAGGTACTCTTGGTTTTCCTGCTTTGGAGAGAATGCGGACGGTCTTGCACCAGTTGACGGAGCACCTGCATCCTTCTTGAGATACGCGAGACATTTTTCAACAATTGGAAAGAGTTGTGCAACGGCAGGACGCTGTACGACGACATGAACACATCCGTCCTCTACTCCATCCGTGAACATTGTGGACAGTTTGGTTGACGGCTTCAACTCCATGGAGTTGCCTCCGATCGTGCGGAGTAAGTGTAGGTCTTCCAAATTTATCTTGACCTTCCAAATGATCAGATTGTCAACATCCAATTGTAGGTGTCAGATCACTTACCTTCCATAGTTCGAGATCGTCCGCGTTAACACGGTCAAGACGTCGCATCTTCGCGTCCTTGATAGCCTTTTGGAGAGCGCTGACACTTTCTGTCAGGTGCAATCTCAATCTCAAATACATGGTGAGGATCATCGCCCAACACAAGGCATTTGAGGTGGAGTGGTCCAGAAGACACTAGGTCAGACTGCAATCAGTAAGGAGGAAAGGGTGGCAATATCGAAAGACAAATCACTGGCAGGTGGGGCCCGGATAACAATATGCAGGTTTTCATCCTCAGGTATTTCAGAGAAAACTTTTTGCAATTTCTTCACGGGTGATAGGGATTCCATTGGTTCAAGTGTAAGATTGTTGAGATTGTACTCGATTGTCTCGTCGACAGGCAGGTCGACCTTCCAAAATATTAGATTATCAGCATCCAATCGTAGGCATCAGATCACTCACCTTCCATAATTTGAGACGGTCAGCATCAACATGATTGAAATAATGTTTCTTCTTGTTTTTGATGACCTCTTTGAGGTGACCAACAGTCTGTGTCTGTGCAATGTCGACTGGGAAAATACAGTTTGAGTCATCACCCAAGGCAATGCAGTTAAGTCTGAGCGGTTCAGACATCTGTATTGTAAACGAAGCTAAAAGGACAAGTTCAGAATTCAGGAGAGAACTGCTGAGGTACAAACAAACATAAGATTACATAAGAGTCCGACAGCGGGGAGACGCGTTTATCATTTAACGTGATATCATTGTATCGGTGGGGGCTTCTTGGACCTGAACTCTCACGTTCGGGTAGGGTGGCACCAAAATCTGGTGCTCCCCGGCGCTGCACGTCCTACATAACATTGTGCTCTCACATTATACGTGATCTCCAAGCATCGTCAACACTGAAAGCCCCCTCAAAGTTGACTAAGACGGCCAGATTGGCTTGGACGGTCTCAATAGCTCCCAAACTACGTAGCAGTACCGATATCCGCCGCACCCCGCGTCTCAATCTATAGCCCTAAGTCTACTTGCGGTAGAGAATCGCCAACATGCTACGAGGACACACCCATCTAATAAACCCAGGGAACCAAGCCTGGCGACACTCACCACGCACTCCATCCCAAATGCCTGCCCTCAAAAACTCGAGGCACGCCACCCGCCCGGATCTCGGACAAAGGAGAAGGTGGAAAACACACCTGGATCAAAGGCGCCTTTATCTATCAAAGACTGGTACGTCATACTACCAATACCTTGAATTCTGCGCCTAACAGCGAACCAACAAAGGGACAAAGCACTGGCCCTCTATTAAAGCCCCCAACCCCAACCATGAATCCACCATCCCTCGCAGATACCACATCACCAGGACCACATCCCACCCTCCGCACACTATGACGAAAGCCACTACTGCTCCAGTCCATCACATGAACACTGACTCACGCGACAACAAACGCACCAGACAACCATCCCAACACTCAGACATGTCCCAATCAGAGGAAGAAGCCCCAAGCTCTAATAAGAAGCCTACCATGGAGAAGAATAGCGCTCCCCAACCTACCCCCCAGCCTACTCCCCAAGTCAATCCATGGCACTACCTTCAAACCGGAGCCATGAGTGCGAACAGCAATATTGGTTAGTGCCAATAACAACGAACCTGCCACCATCCTAACACCACTAACAACAGTTAACGGAGTACTTACTCTTAACAATGGACTCAAGATAACTGCGCCCCCAACCGGCAGCTTCCCATCCCCGCAACTGGGACAGTCTGTCTGGTGCAACGTGACCCTCTCCTTATGGGACAAATGGCCCCAGAAAGAAGGACCCAAAGCCTGGGCGCGAACCTTCAGAGCCCAATATGAAGACAATGCGCAGATGACCAACATCAAAATGCGTAACCTCATTGCGCAAGTTGTCGGAGAAGCGGCTGCCTCATCCCTCCTAATCAGCACTCCCTATGCGGAAGAGGAACTATATGAACGACTCCCTCCTCCATACCACTTCCTGATCTCTGGCATCCCACAAACTGCCATCACAAGGCTGACGGGGCTAAGTGTATGCTCCTCACCGGACATCACCTGCTTCTTCATACCCTACACCCAACCCCTCCCAAACTACATATGCACACTTGAACGATTCACTTATCCAGACTGTGAGGAAAGTAACACTGAAATTGCGGCACTGGTCAAACAAACCATTCGCATGCACCCTGACATATCACACTTCATCCACAATCACATCCCCTCGCCTGATGCTGAGGCTGCCATTAGAACCATCGACTCTATTCGAGTCTCTAGCCTCAACGTTGCGGTCTCATGCACTATCTCACACACAGTATGGAACGTTTATGTCGGATCCCTCCCCAACCTGTCGCTTAAGGACTACTTCGAATGGACCAATCGAATCCGCAACTTGCAATTTGCCTTGGAAGACTACGGAACCGGTCTAGTCCGCTCAGAGGAAAAGCAATTCCTCTGCACAGGATGCAAGTCCTATGACCACCCAACAGGCCTTTGCCCATTCCCAAAAATCATAGGGTGGTTCGGCCCCTCATCCAGCACTAACAATGACATGTCCAATGCCTCCCTGGACAACAGGACACACAACGCGCACAACCCCAGAGGGAACTACGCCAGAGGCGGGAGAGGAATGGTTAACAGAGGAAGAGGCCGCAGAAAGAGAGGAAGAGGACTCAACTAGTGACCTCCCTGACCTACTGCAATGTAAATACCGCTGATGCGCGCACAATGTACAACAAACTGTTAAATGATCAATGTATCATGCCTATGACAACTCTTCGGGTGAGGACGATGAGCACTTGATAACTGAGACAAGAATCAAGGTCACAATAAAAGGCAATGTCCATTGGAGCCCAAATTTACTATGCTTGCGATAGGAAAGCTCCGGACACTGATTAAACAAACGGCGACCTATTTAGGTCTGGGACGTGCCGTGCCGAGAGGCTGAAGTCATGGACAGCAGTGGCTATCGCCCTCATCGAAGTCATGCGCCCCCTATGACATAGTTCCCCCCTCACAGACGTGGATAGTCTGTGCTGTCTGGAAGCATGGTTGAGGCTCCAGGCAGTATACTCAACCACTAACTACACAATATTACCCCCCCACAACATGGTAGAAATAAATGGCAATGGTTACAGGTCCCATGATCCCCGAGGAGACCGTGCTTTGCCCGTCAGCCGTGTCCCCGATGAAGGGTCTGTGGGTTATGGTGACGGGCACCGGGATACTGACTTTCTCACAGCAGATGGCCACCAGCCTATTGAGCACCCCGCTCGCACAAAAGACACACTAAATGTCGAGGCAATACCAGCCGAAGTACACGGTACTCCTAACCTTGTAGCACAAGGTGCCTCCCAAATGAGGCCTGACCGAGAGGGATCCACAATGCCAAGCCGACAGACCCAAGCAAGACACAATCCACCTCAATCCAGCCTAAGAGTCAGCACCAACAAAGAAAGTAAGAAAACGATAAGAGCAAACATCAAAGTTGCATCTCTGAATATGAGAGGAAGATGGCACAATGGAATAGACAAATGGAACCACATCAACCAAGTCATAAGAGATAAAAAGATTGGGATTATGGCCATCCAAGAAACACACCTGTCGAAGGAGGAAGAATCCAAGCTAAATGAAACCTTCGGATGTTGGCTAAAAATTGTATCATCCATCGACCCTGAAAACACCAATGCCAAAGGTATAGCAATTGTACTGAACGTACAAATGACAAGGAGTAAGGAAGTAACCTCACTCGAAATTGTCCCAGGAAGAGCATTAATGATACACATACCATGGACCAAAAACACGATATTAACAATCCTAGCAATATATGCGCTGAATGAACCATCAAAAAATCAACTGTTTTGGGATGAATTACGCACCAAACTAGAAGGAAAGCCCAAACCAGATGTGATGCTCGGTGACTTTAACATAGTTGAAGATGCCCTGGACAGACTACCATGTAAACAAGACAATGAGTATGCTACTGAATCATTAGTAAATCTAAAACTAAGCCTAGACTTAAGAGACAGATGGCGTGCAGAAAATCCCAACTCACTTGCATTCACGTTTGCACAATCTCACCGGCAAGGAGGAAGACAATCAAGAATAGACAGGATATACATCAGCGAGGACTTCATGCCCTTCAGCAAAGAATGGCGTATAGAACCATCTGGAATTGCAACTGATCACCAATTAATATCAGCGAGAATATCAGACATACGTATGCCATTTGTAGGCAAAGGCAGGTGGACACTGCCACTATTCATCCTCAAAGACAAAAGAGTACAGAATGAAATAGTTAAGATGGGACGAGCCCTGCAAAAAGACATAATAAGCTCTCAGTCTAACCGATCAGAGTTTAACAACCCCCAAATAATATTCAAAATGTTCAAAGACAAAGTAATTCACCTATGCAGAGATACAGCGAGGAAATCTATCCCGATAATTCAAAACCGTATCAATACCTTGAAAACCCAACTCAAAACATGCCTAAACGACCATAATCTCCCCGAAGACAAACAACAATTTGTTGGAATAGAACTGCAAGAGAAAATCAGTAACCTAGAAAGGAAACACCACGAAAACATAAGGGACAACTTAGCAGTAAAAATGAGAATCAAGTGTGAATCACCTGTAAGCAAACTGTGGTCAAGATCTGGGAAAGACATTAAGCCCAGAGACACGATTGTCGAGTTGAAAACAATAGACTCACCGGCAGAAGCCCCCATCTACGAATCACGGTCAGATAAGATGGCTCAAATTGCAAGAAACCATCACAATAACCTACAAAACGAAGACCTAGCACCAGAAGAAGACGTGCCGCCACGGAAACAGTTATGAGCACAATCAATAGACAGCTATCTGAAGAAGAAAGAAATATACTCAAAAACCCCTTGACAAAAGAAAACATCGAGGAAGTACTAAAGTTGCTACCAAACGGTAAAGCTGCAGGAATAGATGGCCTCCCATATGAATTCTGGAAATGGCTAGATGAGACCTCCAGATCACTCCCTAAAGAGAAAGATGAGGAAAACGAACCCTTTGACCTATTACAATGCATGACCAATGTCTACAATGACATTGAGACCTTTGGAGTCGCAAAGAGTCCAACTTCTCCGAGGGATGGATGTGCCCCCTCTACAAAAAGAACGATAGGTGGGAAATAGCGAACTACTGCCCTATAACGCTCCTAAACAGTGACTATAAAATATTTACCAAAACATTAGCCCTAAAATTAGCACGTACTGCACCATCAGTCATACACGAAAATCAAGCTGGGTTTGTACCAGGAAGGAGTATAACAGACCAAATACGATTGACTCAACTGATAATTAACTTTGCCGAAGCGGAAGAGAAGGAAGGAGCTATCGTGGCATTAGACCAAGAAAAAGCATATGACAAAATAACACACCCATACCTCTGGAAAGTACTAGAGCGCTTCAACTTCCCAGACCAATTTATCAATACAGTCAAATCCCTATGTGAAGAAGCAGAAACGGCTGTTATGATCAACGGCGAACTGAGTGATAAGTTCAAAGTTACCAGGGGGGTCCGACAAGGAGACCCACTTTCATGCCTCCTATTCGACCTAGCAATAGAACCATTAGCAGAAATGCTCCGACAATCAGACCTTAAGGGCTACCAAGCACCCGGCATGACTTACAGAATAATCGTAACAATGTTCGCGGATGACACCACCATATACCTAACAGAAGAAGGCGACTTCGCACTATTAAATAACATCCTAACATGCTGGTGCAACGCATCAGGCGCAAAATTCAACAAATCAAAAACTGAAATCATACCTATAGGCACCAAGACATTCCACCAAAACTTCCAAACAACGAGGTTACTCAACAAAGAGGGTGCTCCTATCCCTATCAATATCAACATCGCTAAAGATGGTTCAGCAGTGAGAATTCTCGGAGCATGGATGGGAAATGACACCAATGAACATACAATATGGTTGCCAACATTAGAGAAAATCGATGCATGCCTAAAAAGGTGGGATAAGAGTCACCCAACCGTCGAAGGATGAAAGACTATAATTCAACGTACTATAGGCAGCATGACCCAGTACTTAACTGTTGCCCAAGGAATGCCTAAGGAGGTTGAAAAATCGCTCTCAGCAAAAGCGAGAGACTTTGCCTGGGACAATAAAGGGAAGACCCCAATTAGTACCAAAATCTTGTGCAGACCAATAGAGGAAGGCGGTAAAAACATGCTTAACCTAACTCACCGAAACGACGCTATCAAACTGATGTGGCTCAAAGGCCTTCTCAAACCAGCCCACGAATGCCCACCTTGGGCCTTCTTCGCCAATGCTCTGATAGGAAAAAACGCGAAACCAACTCCATCTGTCTGCAACAATGCAAAAGTCAGTATCTTCCTCCAAACATGGAAACCACTAACCAGGAAACTTCCACCATCAATACAACGAATGCTCAAAGCCGCGAAGACCTACCATGTGAAGTGGGATTCATGTCTGATTCCTCCCAACATAGCATGTCAACTACCCATCTGGTTCCACCTTGGTGCAAGCCCAGAACTCAACAAACTGAACAACTACTACTACGCGAACTGCCTGAGAGACAAACATAAAATAGTCACAGTGGAAGACCTGGAAAAAGCGACTCAGCAAACACCACAGGATCACAAGAACCGAAAAGAATGTGAATGCTCAGCATGCTCCTCTGACCGCACAAAGTATAAATGCACCAAACCCTTCAGGTGCCACAAGACGGCCACCAAAATCCTGACATGCATCCTCCCCAAATGGTCCACAAATACCGAAATCTTCAAAAAAGTACTAGACCTGACCCCAGAACAACATGAAGCCAACGAGAAAGCACTTAAAGAGAAAGGAAATGTACTCTTCGACCCGGCACTGCCCACAATGACCACAATTGAAGACGGGTTCCGGGCCTTCACAAGCCCAATACACTCCACAGTGCCTGCACATCAATCACGAGCGCAAAACAATGAGGCAGATACCGAAAAAACATTAGTAACCATTGGTGGAACCTACCAAATCAACAACAACGGAGAACCAGTAGCAACCGGTGCGGCGTGGTATGGACCAGACGACGACAGGAATATAGCCTTCCAACTACCCAATGACCTAGCAACACCCGAAGCCGGCGAACTAGCAGCAATCCTAGAAACAGCCAGGACTGCCCCAAAAAACGCGAGAATGGAATTATCCATTAAAACCTTGAAGATAATCAAACTTCTAACCAAAGACGCACCGAGACTAGAACAATTGGGCTGGATCCAAGCCCCTAATGCCAAACTCATCAAAGCGATCATGGCAGAACTTCATGAAAGAAGCGCCACCACAACCTTACAAGCATGGGGAACGAACACACCTAAACGCAATATAGATGAAACTGAACATCTAATAAGCAATAATACGGAAAACCCTAAAACATATAACATACACACCAAGGTGAAAGACGAATTCAACACCTCCGGACTGCTAATGTCACGAGGCACACAGCGCCTATTCTACAAAGGAATCGGCAGAATCAATCATGGATATCACAAGAGACGTCTTACCAGGATGGCCCTAGCTATGACACATCACACTGTAAGAGAAATAAGCCTGGAAACCCCCTCGGAAGCACAAATCTGGAAATCAATAAGGAATAAGGACATACCCAGAGGCATTCGCGGATTCCTATGGAAGAACCTCCACGGAGCATACCGCTTAGGCGAGTTCTGGCAGAACATACCAAACTACGAGCACAGAGGGACATGTAGACTCTGTGGAGGCATCGAATCAATGGAACATATCCTAGTAGAATGTGAAGACTCACCTGCGAGGAAGCTGATCTGGGAGCTAGCAGAAAAACTCTGGTGTCGGCGCGAGGATGCATGGCCCAACATAAGATTTGGAACGATCCTAGGCTGCAATCTAGCACACTTCACGGACACCAAAAAGAAAAGATTAGAAGGAAAATCTAGATTATTCTCAATCCTGACTTACGAATCAGCCCATCTGATCTGGAAACTAAGGTGCGAACGAGTTATTAAGTTCAACAATGAAGAGGACAAGTTCCACTCCAAAAACAAAATCTGTAATAGATGGATCTCCATAATTAATAGAAGACTCAAATATAACAAATTACTGACCAATGCCTCGAGATACGGAGAAAAGGCGCTGAGGGAATCCTTGGTACTCCGCACCTGGAGTGGGGTCCTACTGGATGAAGACGATTTACCGGATAACTGGATCCGGACAGCAGGGGTTTTAGTGGGTATCAGCGCTTCTCGGAGCGTAATGGGTAGTTTCGGCTACTTGCGAGGTAAGGAGTCCCACACTGCCAAGCATGGCGTGCATAAAGCATTTCCTCTGGGTAACTAACTTATATACTACCTCCCTCATCTTATGGGTGCAATCCCCGTATAACAAACGTGCCTCATGGAGCTGACCTGGTCAGCTGCTACTTGGCAACATCGTTCTACCAAAAAAAAAAAACGTGATATCATTATATCATTCGTGCTTCCACACCTCCCTTGCCAACTACTTCCAACGGTACAACGTCGCATCATTTCGCAATACCTCATATCTCATGTTCATTGTTGGCCTTTCAACCGATAACTAGGACTCAGGTGATTGAACTCGATCATCTTCTTGCTTGGAATACTATCACGTTCCCTTTCACTTTAACTCAGTACTTTTGTCCTTGCCCATGGAATCATTTGGATTTGGTTTCCCCTCTATTCCAAGACTAAACAGTATACTTGCTCTGCAGAGAATGTTGCACGACCTTAATCACCATATCCTGGCATTTCGGACCATGGCCGCAATCACCCTAGCAGATTGGATGTGTAGTCTCAATCACTGCGTCTATCCCTTTGACGGGCCATCTGTGGATCGCAGCTTTTCACGCTGCCAACACAGCTTGCCCTCACTCTGGATCACTGCGCATGACACACTACGTTCTGCTGGTCTGACAGTCCCAACAACTGATCAAGTCTTTCCTCTTGGGAGATGTTGCACTATGACACCTACTGCGTGCATGTAATTTGCGAAAGTTGCCAAACAAAGTCGTTATCACAGACAGTTGGTTGATGATTTTGACAATCATCCACAAACTTGGCGAAGATAGGTTTGAGAAGAGTAATTGGAACAGGGTCCGCAGCTCTGCGAGGACGATTGCAAAGGTACTCTTGCTTGTCCTGCTTTATAGAGAATGCGGATGGTATTGTGCCAGCTGCCGGAGTACCTGCGCTCTTCTTGAGATAAGTGAGTTGTCGATCAACAGCTGGAATGTGTTGTATGATGACGTGAACACATCCGCGCTCTAGTCCATCCGTGAATACTTCGGACAGTTTGGTTAACGGTTTCAACTCCACGCCTTGGTCTCCGATCGTGTCGAGTAAGTGTAGGTCGTTCCAATCGATCTTGACCTTCCAAATGATCAGGTCATCATCATTAGACCGGTATCTATCACTCACTTTCCATAGCTTGAGAGCCTTAGCATCGACACCATCCAATTTATGCTTTTTCTGTTCTTTGATAACCTTTTGGAGGGTGCTGACACTCTCTGTCGGTGCAATCTTGATCTCAAATGCATGGCGAGGATCATCACCCCAGACAATACAGTTAAGTCTGAGGTGGATAGGTCCAAAAGACACTAAGTCAGACAACGATCAGTAAGCAGGAAAGGGTGGCAATATTGAAAGACAACTCACTGGCAGGTAAGACCCAGATAACAATATGCAGATGCTTACACTGAGGAGCATTTTCAAAAATATTGAGCATTTCATCCACAGGTGATAGGGATTCCTTTGTGTCAAGTGTAAGATTGTTAAGATTGTGCTCGATCGTCTCGTCGACAGGCAGGTCGACCTTCTTAAATATCAGATTATCAACATCCAATCATAGGCATTAGATCACTCATCCGCCATAGCTCGAGATGGTCAGCATCAATATGGTCAAATTCTGGCTTTTTCTCGTCTTTGATAACATCTCTAAGGTCACCAACAGTCTGCGTCTGCGCAACGTTGGCTGAGAAAATACGGTAAGGATCATCGCCCAAGACAATACAGTTGAGTTTGTACATCTGACGTTGAGCTTAAGAGTAATAGTGTCTCGAGCAGTGACCACAGTGAGTGCTGCAGTTACAATGCACCAACCAAGCCAAGCAGCCTGTGACGGCAGTGAGGAGCAATGAGCTTTCAGAGATATGCTGCAGTACGATAGGAGAGCTCGTGGTTATTTCTGATTCTTTCTTGTTTCAGATAATGGATGTGGTACCCATGCAGTTTGATCCCTATGCGAGCTTGCGAGCAAATAGATCAAACTAGTGCTTACTAAGCGAGCAAACATGTACGTATGCGTGTCGTCGACATGCGTTGTTCTTGTCTTATTCCTTTCGCATTTGCTTGCAGCATTTTGCTTATTCAAGAACTCTGCGCATATAGTCTTTAGATTAGTTATATATCATCCTCAAATGACTAACGCTCAGACTTCTGGACTCCCTTTAGGAGTCAGGGGTAAAGATACATCGGGCTTGACAGCATTTAGGGCTGTAGGCAGTGTTCTGCCGGTCAATGAATGTTTATCAGAGTTAGCGTACATTCAGCAATACTTTCCCATGGATGCAAGTGAACTGAACCCGTTCAGTGCCAGAAGTCTGGTCTGGATATTATATAATCACTTATGATTGGACGATGGACTTGAAGAAAGAGTGAACGAACATCAAAAGACATTGTAACATATTCCCTTCTACATATCATCTGCTATGACATATTTGCGATTGGTATTCTCGGTACAGTACACAATGTACATTGTATGGTACACGAAATCCATAATAAATCTATTCAGCAAGGACATCATCAACTTGAGGAAACTCCGGATCTTCGATTCCTTCTGCATCTAAGTCGAGAAGCTCGTACAACTCGAGCTCGGCATCTAAACCTCTAATGGCCGTTTTGTAGAAAGATCCCAGCCATTCCTCAGCGCGAGAATAATCAAGCAATTCGCTGATGGCAATGGGAGTGAATGAATCAGTAGTGGGCACTGAGTGCATCATTTCTGTGGCAGAAAAAACTTCCTCTTCATCAACAGCTTGGATGAGGTCTCATGTGAGCTCGCTTATCCCTTGCCTCTCGAAGCTGTGCTGCTCTCATTCGCCGCTTCCTGCCAATGGAACATCCAAGTCATCCACTGTTTCAGTGGACTCTGCTTTCTCATCACAGTACCGGCGCTTAAGCTGCTTCTTGACGACATTGTTTCGTGCGTGCTCTTCGTGAATGTACATCTTGAGTTCTGCGATGAGCGTGAGGGTTTCTGTTGAGAGTCAATTTTGCCATTTTGTGAGAATTGCGCCAAACATGCTAAAAAGACGCTCGCAAGAGGCAGAATTTGGGCAGATAGAGAGAAGGCACTGGGCAATGGAATGAAGTGGTCTGAGTGGTGAACCGGGATGTGATAGTCCTGCCCAAATGTCAATTGGATCAACTGCAGTGCCCTGATGACTATTTTAGCAAATTTTCTTGAAGTATCATTTTCCGGTTGAATACATACCTCCCTCTTGGCGCGAGACAATAGTGCAACCTTGTAGATATCTATATGTGCGAAGTCACGGGAACCACTCAGGTAGTCCTCCAAGTCCATGTAAAGATCAAGTGGTACATCCGAGCCGTAAAAATGCCTCCAAAGACGTCCAAACAGTGATGCAAGTCCTGTGCATTGTCTTCTTAGATAGATGATCTATAGATAAACACCTATAAAACCAAATATCTCCACGGTCAGCAATTCAGACAAATACCAATGACTGATAACATGGTCGTTCGTGGGTGGCTTTCTTATGCTCCTAAAGTACAGTCAGCACAGTAAGTTCAGCACAAGAGTCAGCAATCAACAGTCGATCCAACAATATGGATATGAAACACAGCGATCAGAGACACAGAACACAGTCAGTCAGTGATTGACAAAAAACAACAAAACAACAGGAAACACAGTCACTCTAACAATATAGAGATGACAACAAAAACACAGATACTCTTCCTAACACTTCACACAGCAACAATGATTCGTACACAAACTTAGTGCAGCAAGTTGTGTGGAGTTACGATGAGAGTCCCCCTCAGTTACAAAAACAGGTGAAACTACTGTCAGACCTAGTCAAGCCTCTGTAGCACTCTTAGCCTAATATTGAACCTGCTGTCAAGGAACTCACAATGAGTATTCAAACAGACTCAGGAATAGGCGATCTTGGACTTCAATACCAAGTCCCCTTTCAATAGCTAAAGTCTAACTTGCAATGACTACCCTCAACCAGTATGACACACAGATGTATGAGGTCAGGTGTCACCGTCAACACCTAAAGTCTCCCCACAAGACTATCCTAAGTCTTCAGTGGACAAAAAGAGACAACAGCAAACTTTCTGGGTAAGAATGAGACTGAAACTTTGGTACTTGAGAGAAAGTTGATAGGTCAAGACAATCAACAAAACAAGACCGCTACAACAGAAATACTAACACGATCTCGAAGACAGTTAGCAACAACAATCACAACACACAGAGACAATGATCACAGAGACGGTCAGTACAGTTAGTCACCGACACACCACACACATACACTTGAGACAGAGAGAGAGAAAGAGAGAAAGAAACAGAAACACGAGTTTCAGTCACGAATCTCAGACACAATCTCAGAGAGACAGAGAGAAAAACAAACACACAGACACAGAGAAAATCACAGACAAAGACACAGACAAAGACACAAAAAGAAACAAAGAAATTCAGACAGACAATCAAGAGAAAACAGAAAAAGAAAGGTTAATCTTGCTCGTCGTCAGACACAGTGAGCTCAAGGTATGTGCTAGATGTTCAGCACAGTGAGCTCAGATGAGTGGTGCTGGTTGTTGAGCACAGTGAGCTCCAACCTTTTGCTACACTTGCTGAATGCTGATTCACACTTCACTCACAATTTTATTCTGAGAGTATAAAAAGCAAGGGAATTGCTTTTTTTTATTGGGAAAAAAGCAGCTCCTTATATAGACAAATTAGGTGGCTATACTACTAGTTTCTCACACTTAAAGTTGTAACTTTAGTTTGCTAGTACCAAGTTACACAGTATCTGTGAGTCAAAAAGTAAATATTCATAACTCTAGTTGGTATAATGGTGGGTCAGCAAGAGCTGTGCTTGGCCCATGGGTCAGGTGATCCCTTGATGACTCAGCTAGAAAAAGAGTGAGAAATGTTTACATAATGTGTGGGTAAATGTTTGACATCTGTGGCTGATAAATTATTTAGTAGCGTAATGACATAGGGTGTGTATTTAGTGATTTGTAAGCTTTCCCACAGGGTAACCTTATGCAAACATATTTTTCACGGTCACCTGATATGTGTGAGAATCTTTCTGAGTCATCTTCCTGGCTGACTAAGCAAAACTCATCGCAGAATTAAATGTACAAAAATATTCAGTCCACTCGTGTACAAACTCATATAATGAAAAAAAATGCGAAAAATATTCCCTGAGCCTCAGTGCGACTTCAGATCAAGAGAAAATGTTCATAGTGATTTCTGGGGTATAAGACTCATAGGAAAGTATTACTGGTCCATGCACCGAACCAGTTTGGTGCAGGTCAGCGTGTCGTGAGAGGAATCTTCTGGAATAGCAAAACCTTGTAGAAGGGATTGACAATGACAGCAGCGATAAAAACTTCTTGGTCGCACTGTCCCCAGCGGCGTTCAGCGCTTGCAAGAACAGCTGTACGAGCCGTGAGATCAGCGCTATTTTCGATCTTGGAATAACGAAAGTGCAGGAAACCGAATGAAATCACAATATTTTCGGGTCTTGCCTGGGCTGCTTGATGAATATTCGTCATGAGGGAGATTGGTTCAAGCAGGGTTTTCCATCTACAAAGAAGATCAGTTTTCATTTGTAAACTTATTTTCCTTGCTTTACCATGTCATTGCATGCCAGAATGTTGCATTTTTGATCGTGTCGATAGCAGTTTGAGTCTTTCTGCATGATCGTGCATCTCCACTTGACATTAGATTATGTTCATGCTTTGTTACAAGCAGTTCGAGGGCAGTTCGAAGCTCGAGAAGATGGCAATATGCAAGATAGTGTGATAACCAGCGTGTCAGCACTGCTCTGAGAACTGCAAGTGTTTTACCAATTGTTGCCATCTGTATCTCACGGAGGATGGCAAGCACATGTGTCTTGCTGCGTAACCATGTAATTAACTCTTGTGCCATGTCTCCATATACCCCATAGTCGTCTTTGACCTTGAAAAGGTCTCCGACAATGAGGTTCCACTTTGAATTATTTGTAAATAGCATTACCGATTCATTATGATGCACACCACCATACCTGATGAGCCAAACAATCAGGAATGACAAGGTGTGGAAACTTCTCTCGTAACAGACGACGGGCCTTTCGTGATTCACCTGATGCATCTGTGGTGCATGCAATCACAGTGGCCCCCCATTTGGACTCAATCCTGTTGATTGCCTCTAATATCTGGCGAAGAAGTTCTTCGGCTGTCTGAGGATCCCTCGATGCATCATGGACTTTGACTGTATGTAACTGAATTGACAATTAGTTAATACGATTGACACCATCAGCCGTCGAGTTACCTTTCACCGTGCTGTCATCATAAAGCCCAGAAGATGGTGATGGTTTTCACCCATCCAACCATCACATTGCAAGGTTGCATTGGCACCTCAGCATTCCTCTTTAGCGACAGTTTTGAGTGTGTTGAGGGTGTGTGGCATGACACGTCGTGTAAGGACTTTTGCGGAAGGTATTTGTGCTCTTGGAAGAAAGCGGTCACACAAAACTTTCCACTCATGATTCTCAACCCATCGCAGTGGCAAACCAGTGCTTGCGGTGAGTCTCGCAAGACCGATCTCCCAATCAGCTTGGTCTCAAGTTGTCCAAGGTTGGTCACCAAAACCATAAAGGGATTGTCCCAGTGATGCAGGGGAAATAGGCGGAAGCGAGCCAGAAACAGAGCAGTACAGACCAGACTGGTTTAGATGTTGGCATTTCCCCAGCTGGGATGGTAACGAGACCACTGAAAGAGCTGGACTGACCGAAAACGAGTCACGGGTAAGGAGACTAGAGGAATCTGAAGCCACAGTCTCAGGAATTAGCAGGGTGGGCAAACTCGGGTGTGCGGACTCTAGAACAGATGATGTATTGAAAGCCGGTGCAGCAAGAACAATCTGTGGTGTAGTGGTACTGCCATTATGGGCCCGAACACCTTTTCACGGTGAATATTGTTCATGGTATTTCATCCACGCTTGTGAACGAATGTCTTCTGAGTGCAATTGGCATTCATGCAGGTGACATAACAGTGTTGTTGGCCGACTGATCAACCAGAGACACTGGGAATCATTCTGGGCAGTGGCCCATACTATATTTCCGAGTCAAAGTTAGCAGGAAACAGCTACTAGCACACAAGAGTTCACATACAAGTGCCTGCAATTGCAGCTTCATCTCTCAGTGCATCTCGCTGACCTGTGTGGATTTGCTGTTCATCCAATGCATGCTCGTTAGCCATGCGCTGCTCATAGAGCCTCGCACATATCACTTTTGCCTTTCCGCTGACCATTGAAGCACTTTCTTTGGTAGCATAACCTGGATGTTCGACGAAGTGGTCCCACCACCATCCTCGGTTTGATTTCTTGCCGGTCTTCGCCATTGAGTCAGTTTCGGTGTGTCCAACGTTGAGAGTAGTGGCTGTGGCCTGCAGGTTCTTGAAGTGTGCCCCCCAGCTGAACAGGCCTAAACCACATGCTTACAATCAGACTGCGTGAAGATATCTAATCGATAACCATTGATATGGTATAGTCTAATAAGGTAGGACCACAGAACCGCTCAAAGTCATATTCAGGTGAACGACAGTAAACTTCACCGACTTTCCCACGAATCACAGTCAATGACCATGACCTTGGTTCACTGACTGGTAGAACACTGGCTGTAGGGCCAGACCCAAACAGAATCGTGGGAGCAGTCGGCTCGACTAGTAGACGTGTACCATTACCTTCTCGTAATGACATCCTTGCCAAAAATGAGGCACGGGTCAAACGTAACGAGGCCCGAGCTGATCATAGGGCTACGACGACAGACTTCGTCAAGGATGATGAGGATCTCTTAGACGTTCCAGCTGAGGAGCAGCCAGAGCTGCCTAATCCACGTCCTGTCAACACGGACACACCTATGATTAACCTCTTCAGAGGTCGTAAAAGCAAGGTCACGACGACCATTTATTAAGATTAGGAAAAAATGCTCAATGGTGATTGATTTACTATATTTATGGGACCAAATTTTCTGAGGTCAGATTGAGGTCAGGTTAAGCACTATGGCCACCCTGGACAGGTGGTGGTAGTGCAGTGCGCAATACACTAAGACTTCCCCTTGACCTTATTTTGTTTCCCTCTCGAAAAGCACTATTTTTTTGATCCAAAAATCTTGAAACATCCGAATGTGAACGGAGTGCTTGTCTGTTTGTCCTCAGGTATTGGTAACAGTTGGTTATTTGTATCAACCTTGTCAAGCATGATTCCAACTCGTGATGCTTTTTAATATTTTGCAACTAAATAACTTAATGGTTCAGCGTGCCCAGTGAAAAACTGGTCCTAGATTCCTAGCCATATCTACGATAAATGACGTATATTATTTATACGACAATAGTGGCTATATCGCAGACCAATTCGAGAAGATGAGGCAGTGCGTAGGGAGACACGAGGCGACTTCAAACTGACATTACGATGGATGTGAATGTGGTGCGAAACGAATTAGTGGACAAGGTAAAGCATAGGGAGACACAAGGCAACTTCAAACTGACAATATGATGGATCCTAGAACATGTGAACGTGGTGGGAAACAGATTAGCAGACAAGGAAGCCAAGGACGCTGCAACGGGTAACGAGTACATACCTATTGAACATCGCATACTATATATTACATGTCGATATCCATGTCATCCTGTGATGAACGGACGTCAGAAACGAATAGTCGCATTGAGAGATACACAAACCGAGTGAGCACACATCTCTACATCTCCATCATCTTGATCAATGTCCATATATTCCTGCGACGGAGCTGCTGAGAGATTGAGGGCACAAAATGAAAGATACATACCAGTTGAGCGCTGTTCCCCGTTGCACTATTGCATACCTCCATCGTGTCCTCCCCGTTGGCCTCGTCATCATCAACGATCATGTAGTAGTATTCCTGCGATGAAAAATGTAAAAAACAGATATATAGATAGATATTTACATACCGGTTGAGCGTTGTTCCTCGCGACATTGACTTCACCTTCGTCAAAAATGTCCATTGGTTCCTACAATGAACAAACATTAAACAAATGAACTAAAGTATGCATTATATTAACTAGGTGAGTCCCCTCCCCTTCATGTTCATCGTGGTCAACGTCCATCAGGTCCAACGAAGCAGTAATCTGTGCCCCTTCAGTCTTATATTGGAGTAGATACAAAAGTACATACTCAATGCATCATCATAGCGGTTACTATCAGATAATTTTGTGGGTAATGGTAAGATGTTGGTCAGTAACTTACAGCTATGCGACACTTATTTGTTGTGACATTGTGATTGTGACGATCACCTCTGAGCTTTGTCCGTCACCGCCACAATACGGTGACTGCTATGGCAAGCTTTGGCCTTTTGTCAAAATGATGTCAGTGAATAAAACTAGAATTATCATTTTGAGCAGCGTGATACGAGTTTCGCCAGGAGGGGAGGGGCTTCGGTTGATGTTCAGCTTTAGCCGAGAGCCAAAAGACAGGTGCTGAAGTCTCCAGAAAACAAGAAGATCAACATGCACGCGCTGGATGGAAGCTATGAAAATTGAGTGAGATGTTTTGATCAGCACGCTGCAAGTCACATGACACGACAATGCTCAATCATTGCGACTGATCGCGGGAGCAAAGAAATGAAGCTAACAAGGAGACAGCTAGATGTAAAAATGAGCACAGTCGAAGTCCTCGGGTGAGGTATTTGAGGAGCTCGAAAGGATCCCATTGTTTGTACATGCAGCAATGTAGCCATGTCAATGACACCGGTGGAAGAGAGCGACAGTGAAGATATTCATGATGAAGGTGTCTAGGAATGGCATCAAGTAGATGCACGAGGGCAGTAGCACAGGTGTGTGCGACACGAACATAGCCTTGGTGAAAGTTAAATATTTTCACATTTCTTTGGATGTTGTGTCCATACGAAGACCAGAAGCTTACCTCTGTATTGGAAGTAATGTGTCTTTGGCAGTAGAACATACACATGCATGTGAATGAACTGATTCAAGGCGGTATTTGTGCCAAAATACAATAGTTGATGTTGGTCGCAGCATTACTTGTGCAAAGTATTATTAAAAGTGCTCAATGCTCACTGCTCATGTGACCAAGCATTCAACAGTTGCTGCCTCTCTGGCCCTCCGCAACTTCACCAATCGATTCAATTATGGTCTCTCAAATTTCTGTAAACTCATTCTATGTCAAGAGGTATTCTTCTGATTTTTATAAAGTCCCCAATACAATTTCCCTGGGGGCCCTGCACATGAACATCCAGCAACGTATCAAACAGAAATTTCAGCGCAAATGGTATGAAGACCAAGTCCACTCTGATCCTGTGTCAATTATTTTATCTTCAAGTAAGCTCTGTTATTCAGTTGACGTGGTTGTTGATTTACATTATTACCAGACACACATGGCTCCACCTTACTAGAAAACAATGCTACAATCCTTGGCGATCTATGTGGATCAATGGACCGCATACATGCGATCGTTCCTTCACAGCAGCTTAACAGTTCCAATACTCCCTCACAGCATGTGGCATTGATGCCTGATAGCATGAGCAGTCCTGACTATGACAGGACTCAGGAGCTGCTATTGCTAATATGTACACTCGACCAGAATTTGACAGAAGTGAGGCGAGCACGAGAGGAGGATAAGCGAGCACAATCAGCACGGGACGATGAACTCACCACATTGAAGGCATCAATGGATGCTATTGTTCAACACCAGCAACAAGTATCTGAAGATATGAGGGTATGGAACCACGACCGTGCAGATGACATCCGTCAGCAGAAGATGATGCAGCAAAACTTGAAGGACAACCAGGAGCATTTAAGCCACCTTCAGGAAGCTCATGCCCACAATGAGCGAGTTCGGATCTACAGCGACCAACGGATCAAAACATTGGAGGACGGACGATGGGAGGATGGTATCCGTATCAGAACACTGGAAAATTCCCTCGCTGTGGAAGGGACACGGGTCAAGCAGTTGGAGAATTTGATCGAAAACTCAAAGAAACAGTGTGAGGTACAGATGGTGGTGATACGCGAGGAGGCAGAGGTGAAGTTGAAGGACATAGAAGCAAAATGCAGGGATGTGGAGGCGAAGCACGAGGCAGGGAAGAGGCTGTGGGAGGTAGAGAAGAAGGCATAGGAGGTGGAGAAGTTGTCAATGGTTGCTCGGATCGAAGAGGTTGAGGATATGACCATTGCAACCGTTGGTTGGGTTTGTGGCGCGGTACATTTTCAATCACTCAATCATAACAACAACAATGAATTAAGATTCAATCAGGACACTAAACTAATCGATTGCATCCTACTCCGGCATCTCCTCGACCTTACTCAAGCCAAACTTGCACGATTGACTGCACCTCCAGGCACCAACCGTGCTACACAATCAATTTTGTGGCGAGATGCACTTGGAACTACCCATGTATATGCAGAACACTTGCAAATAGCGCAGAGACTTCTAAACAGAACGGACACCCAGCTGGACAGCGCTACTGTTCAATTCATGGCTGATGCGAAAGGGATGGATCTCGCCATCCAAAAGTCATCTGCAATTCGAGAAACAGGTGACCTCGTGGCCCACCTGAAGCCCAGAGCCATTTGTCAAGAAGCATTCATACAAAGCATTTCACGCCACAATGTCACTGAGGAGCGTCCAGGTCTTTTAGCGATGGTTAAATTTGTTATGATTGGCACAGTTCACTAATAGGTACAATTACGAGCTACGATGGTGTACAACATATGGTATTTTAGTTGATAGCCATGCAAATCTTGAATGTTGGCTGTAGAATTTTGTCACTTCGTTCACAAAGGAGTTCAAAAATGAATATTGACAAGAAACAGTTCGTCCCTCACTGGCTGCAATTATGCAATTTCACAATTTGTTCATGAACCCAAGGACTTCTCAATTCACTGATCAACTATTACTGGCAGCTGCAGGCACTTCCATCAATTCTTTGGAGATTTGATGTTACAATGTTTTTATGTGTCATAGCTCTCCACACCAAGGTTCATCCTCGTCTTCCCATGACACAATCTCTCTCTTGTATTGTGGGTCTGGGAAGCTCCCGTGGAATTCACCCATAGCCGGACCTCCTGCATATCTGTGTGTGGTTGAGCATTTACGTTGTTCAACTTGTGAGCTGTTTCTCCCTCTGAAACTTATGCTGGTGTTGTGAGCATATCAGGCGACCATGGCGATTAATTTAATCTGTGTAATTGTGATTATGAGTTCCGCCCTGGAAATACGAAATCAGCCAACAGGAATGCAGCATAGAAGACTGCCGCATGGTTAATGCGTGGAGTCGTCATTATGAGTGCAGGCTGACACATTGGTTCGGCACCCACACATGCCTGGCGCTGGTTGACTTTTTTCTTTACTCTCCTACTCAGAGCTGAAGCAATGCCTAGGTCTTCAGGTTCGTCAATATCTCAACTAGATCCCGAAGGTAACAGATTACTCCAGCTGCCTTTCTTCAATATTCAATTGTTTTATCTTGCAGTTTACGTGCAAATCAAAGGCAGAAATGAAGTTGCCTGCAAAGTGTGTACAAAGCAGAACGAGAACCTTCTTACTATGAGAAATATGCCATGTTAGTGGTCATGACCGAAGCAAAAAACATCAGCGGGCAGTTACCCATGCTTTGGAGCACATAGAAGCATCAAGTCCTCATGCGCCTAAGCCCTCTGCCCTGGAAACTGATGTTGACATGCTTGACCCACCAACACTATTTTCCCTGCTAGACTCAGATAGCACTGCTCCCTCTGAAAACTCCACTTTTTCACCAGAGAACATCACAGGAGCCACTGAAGATGATCGTCTTGAAGTCCCTATTGGTGACCTGTGGGATAGCACAGTTACTGAACACACAATTGGCAGTGACTACTATGAAGAAATACTGGCAGCACTCCAGTGAGGAGAATCGTTATTCTCATGTCCATTGGAACCTCCCATGGAGGAGATTGGAGTAGAACTTGACAATGATCTCACTATCAAGGTAGATGACACAGTGTTCAATATTCTTGGTAAGTTATATCGCATATATTTCTCTTTCTTGCATTGATACCAGTCCAAGTAGACGACGACTGCTCTCGCACAAATGAAATCAACCCAGGTTCCTCAACTTATCCATGGACGTCAATACCGGTATGATTTTGGAGTCATGCACTCACATCCAGGTGCTCACCTGTCAAGTAGGAATGTATCACACAACTCCTATTCAGCTCGCCTCGCACTCGGTTTTCGGAGGCTCAAAAGAGGGCCATTCTGGACTGGGCTACTGCACTCGGTGCCAAAGACATTCTGACACTGTACAGTATCAAGAAAACCCAAGACTGTATCCATGAATTAGTTGGAAATCCGACTGAAAAGGTTTGCGCAAAGTCGGGCACCATGTTTTACCTCAATTCTGTTGCAAAAGCAATCGCAAAGGTGTGACTTTCACAAATACTCATACGGTTCATCACTGACATTATCTCCAGAATTATGGCAATCCTCTTACATGGTTCGCCATGCATAATTACCCAGAAGAAGGAGATGGAAGGATGTCGCAAGTTCATCATGGCTACAAGATGATGCACGACCTCCCTGATGACCTTTCCCCACCTACAGTCCATGTAGGAATCAACATTTTCTTTGCTGACGAGCTCCTTCAACTGTCGTCCATGGAATATTTTATTCCAAAGAAGTTTTTTGAGGTAAAGATAACTCCCGACAACAACACTCAGATATTGGCCTTAGGTCACATTGTTGTGCGGACTGACGTGAGTTACTGTTATGACTACGACAAATTTTATCTGACTTATTGGTGTTAAGGTGGGATTTTCTGTGGATCTCGAGTGCGTACTCACTCCAGTCTTGTCATTTGTATGGACATTTGAAGATATTAAAGGCCATCCAAATGAGTTCGAGTGCGGTTTCACAGGTTTCATTCACTCGTTGGTATCTCTGTCTTCAAGGGCTGATTTCTGTGATAGAATCATCTGCAACTCATGCCTGCCTTATGCCGAATCCCCTTCGTGCAAAATCGGGTGGTCGGATGGTGCTAACAGTGCCACTCATCGTCTTCATGGACGATGTCTCAGGGAACATATCCAAACAGTGGAACAAGCATCATGTTGTATACATGTTGAACACTGCTTTACCTCGTGAGATGCTGGAGAAGGAGTTTTGTGTGTGCTTTGTCTCATCCTCACCTCATGCCACTCCAATGGAGCTCATGTGCGGCTTCAAGGAATCTACTGCGTTCATTTTCACTCAGCTCTAGAGCAACAGGATGCTAACCATAAGAACACAAAAACAGTGCCGCAGCGAGCGATGGAATCATCACTTGGGATTGTAAGTACAATGACGAGGTGATGCTTATTCCCTATGGCCTTTTCGATGCAGGCGAACAACCCAATGCAGGAGGAGGTATGCAGCCATGGTGGCCTTAAATATAACTACTTCTGCAGAACATGTAAAGTTGGCAGGTATGACTGCAGGAGAAAAAGTCTGACAATAGGTTACCTCGAAATTTTCAAGGTGCAGCTTTCTTTAGGACAGTCTTACAGGATTTAGTTGTGACTACTGATGACTCTTACCTTATAGTATGGTGAACTTCGAACATCTGAAGGCACGAAGATGGATATTTTGAAGCAAATCGAGCTTTCAAAACTCTCTGGTGGTACAGGAGAAGGTCAAAAATGCTGTCAGCTCGACAGGCACTCGTGAAGCTGCAACAATGCACATAGTCAGTCATTTGCTCGAACTTGGCAAGCAGCTGCGAAAATGTGAGGCTGGAAAACCCATCATGTCAGAAGAAGATGTCTGAAGGCAGCTTGAACAGGAGTTCGAAGACATGCCTCATGGATCACCCCTTGAAGATCACATCAATCCGCTACTTGGTATGCCTGGTGTCAACATCCACCAAGACACACCCACCGAGATTCTTCACACCATTCTTCTTGGCGTCGTCAAATATTTCTGGGGTCAGACTGCTTGGATACTCGACAAGGGTCATCTTCTCAACACTTTTGAAGTGCAATTAGAATCGATCAACAAGGATGGCCTGAACTCCCCAATGCTTGGTGCAAATTACATTTGCCATTTCAAGGGCAGTCTTATCGGCAAGCACTTCAAAAGTCTTGCCCAAGTAATGCCATATCTTATTTATGATCTTGTTCCACAAACGGTTCTGAACGGCTGGACGGTGATTGGCAAACTGGTAGTACTTCTTTGGCACACATCGATTGAAAACACAGAGCTTTATCTTGTAAGACTATTTTCACTATGTACTCTACTTGATTGACATCAGCTCAGGCAAATCTTTCGCGAATGATTGATGATTTTCTTAGTATCAGTGTACAGTGCACTCCCAGCATCCTCATCACAAAGGCAAAATTTCACTTCCTGGTCCACATTCCAGCATACATACGATGTTTTGGTCCTGCTCTCCTCTTTTCTACAGAACATTTCAAATCCTTCAATCATGTATTCCGATTAGCAGCAATCTACAGTAACCGCCAGGCTCCAAGTTGTGACACGTGCAACACATTTGCCATGCAGGACATTGTCAAGCACATCATTACAGGAGGATTTTGGGTAGATCCGACAACAAAAAGATGGGTGAGTGCTGGGAAGGATATTATAGATTACATGGATAATCATCCACATCAACGACACTTGTTGGGGTTTCATACGACACGACTAAAGCCTGCAGGTAAAAAGATTGATACTGCCTAGGTTATTTATTTTTATATCATCTGCTCTGTATCTAGGATCTTCTCATTTGCCAACACAGCAGAACGCTCGAGGAAAGTCCGAGGCAATCCCACCAGTGGACTGGCATTCGACACACTTAGCGGCAGCCCTATCCCATGACAACAATCTTCTTCGAGTCGCACCAAGCAAGTTCTACAGAGCTGATCCGTTCACAGCAGTCAATCAAGATAAAGTATCTCTAGAGGCCCATGTCATCTTCAGAAGTAGGAAAGAAAATTGAGATCAGGTCAGTCTGCCAGCGCTTACTACCTGTGTCAATCATTCCCTGACTTTTACTTCGAGGATCAACTCTTTATTGGAAAGGTCATAGAAATTCTCATTCAGCAAGGAAAGACCTGTCTCATTGCGGATCACGTAGTCGTCACCTGCTTGGCATTCTCGCCAGATCTCCACCCTCAGCTCAGTGTCCCATGTCTGGAACTTGTTCCTGAAGATGAAGTTGTTGTGGCACCCAAGGTAACAGTTCTCGTCTACATCAAACTCCTCCATTTATGCTAAAATGTCCTTGTAGAACATCCTGTGTGCGGTCAATGTACAACATGATTGCATTGCATTGGATTCCAACTGCAATATTCAGTACATCCGTGAGAAACAGGAGCGCACTGAGACAACGAAGACCAAATGTGTCACTCAGCATACAGCAAATAATGCTTATGTTCTCAACACTCATTCTCTCCACAATTATTTGCTCATTTCAGCTGTCATTCCGCCTGAAATTCATGTTTAAATGGCATCCCCACAAATCCCAAACCACGAAGAGATACGACTGAATGGAGCCAAACATGTTCGCCAAACAAAGAAGGCAGAAGATAACGAGAATGCCACTGCAGCACCCATTTCCATAGATATCGCTCGTGAGGGCAGTATTGGCCCAGTCACTGTCCCAGCCTTCGATCGCACAACCAAATCTACTGGGAGGAAAGGAAAAGGTAAGACGGTAGCAAAGGGGAAGAAGAAGGGCCCTGCTACAATTCAAAGCACTGCAACACCTAGCGGTGCCATGCCAACAATGCCACAGCCATACCTGTACCCACGGATTACCCCGCAGGACACTCAACCTCCATTTAACAATAGCCTGCCACCACACACTCTTCCGCCTCCATGGCCTGCTGCCCATATACCATGCAAATGTGCATGGCAGTCACCCCTTGCACATGTACCCGACGGCTTTTCCACCTTATTACCCCATCCTGCACGCAACAACTTTTCTGCCCTATCACCCCACTCTCCACATGCGCACAGATGTGCACCCTTTTGCCCATGCAGGACCGTCTCACCAACAACCCTCCCTCATACCAGCTCCAAGCTTCACACCGTCCACTGCATGGAGAGTTGATGATAATGGTCCTGTCATGGATGGATTACCCCACTGATATGGCCCTCCGTCTTCAACACAACACGTGTCTTCATGGCAGTGGCATTCTTGCCGACCCACAAGGAGCTCATCCGCCTTGCAAAACTATGGCTACCCGTGTCTCACTTCAATAAGACCAAATTAAGCAAGAACGGTGTAGAGACTCATGCCTCTCATTGTGCAATATGGCAGTTTTCACTGGGGAGTACATGGCATGAACTTGTAGCATCACTCTGTGTGCTACCTGCAGCTATCTCTATATGAGGCGCAGCTTTCCCGCGCAACGCGCGCCATGCGCGCGTACCTTTCCCGCGCTTCACGATGTATATGCGCGCGCGCTTTCCCGCGCTTGAGCACCCTATAGCGCCAGCCATCCGGAAGCATCCATCCACTGTCCACCAAGTTCCCTAGTGCGTATATTTCCATTTCTCACATTTGCTTATCGTTCCATCTTTATTTTTATCATGGACCCTTACTTACATATATCTTTACATACCTTACTCGGTAGCGCTTCGGCTCCGCATGACAGCGCTTAGGCGCCATACTTAAGCGCCAGCAGTACATACTATGACTGACTCACTTACTCTCCCACCAGAACGACAGAGGACTTACTGGTTACTACCCACTATTTACCTAGCAGAACATAGTAGAAATCTATTTGTTTACACCTCACATCTCTCTTCTCTTGTCTTACATCATATCATCACTTAAGCAAACTCACTCTTACTCTCTCTCGTATCTGTATACACGCGCACGCTTTCCCGCGCTTCGCGCCATACACATGCGCATTCTCGCGCCTCGCGCGCACCTGCGCTTTCCCGCGCTTCGCATTGGCCAACCAGTAGCGCTTTCAGCGCATACCTCTAGATCCTTGCTGCACTCGCTTCCCCTTTAGGGTCGAACGCACTTGTCGTCTCAAGTATAGCAGACTAGGCAACGCGCGACCTTACAACAATTATAGATACAGTCAGGAGCATTGTTCGTGCCTCGCTGTATCGTTGAACCTTCAACAGGTACCTCGTCAAGATCAAGGAACAAGATGTCAAGCTACCATGTCCATTGGCAAGGAGGTCGAAAATCCTATGCACGCTATCAACATTGTGTAGCGAGCCAAGATTGATCTTATTCTGTGAGTCACATATCCAAATTTTTGGTGGTCCATCGGTGATCTGATGCACGGGATCCATTTCACTCAGGATCTCTCATGAGAATGATTGGTTTGGGGGGCAGGCTGATGTTAATATTGGTACAATGACTTACATGGCAGTATTTTCATAGAATGAACGGAGCAAGCTCTCAAGCACCACTGCTGGAAGGAAAGACTCGTAAGTAGTTAAATTTTAAAAAGCTGTGCACCGGGGAATATTGAGAATTTTTGCTTTGCACACAGAGGTGTGTGTATTATGTGTTTTATACCGCTTCACTGCATCAACCTGCCTCGTTTCTATAGACACATGGGATGTGACTCTTGTCCCATCGCATCCGATTGAGCAGTTGGTACCTACTGGCGTTCAAATCTGACTATCTATTCTACATGACCGCATTGATATCATTGCTTTTTATCTCGAGCAGCTAATTCATCCGTGATGTTTTTATGGTGATTTTCCACGTAGTTTTGTCACATGATCAGAGTTCCAATGTTGTTGGCAGCTGCACTCTCATCTTGCACCACCACCATCAAGCCACATGAGTCTGTTAGCTCAGTTCAAGCTGCACCAAGCCTTATCTACTCCAACACCAAGTGTGCAAACACCCACATGTCGTACAGCAAGCTTGAGTCCTCGGGCACCATCTCCCTTTCAGATGTCTATGCGAAGGGCACGTTCGGAATCTATAGTGGAGGAACAACGTAAAAAATGTCTTAAGCACCATGCTGTCACTGTCTGCAAGAGTTTGAACTTACCAGATGACACTTTAGAAGACTTTGCATCAGTGCGTTCCTACAATTTGCTGCATATTAACAGTCTACTGAAATCCTCTTAAAGCTCAATGCCAAAGAGAAGTTGAATGAAATCAGGGGTGTGCTCATGTCCTTGTGTCGTACAACCAAGTGTAATGCAGCGCAGGAGTTTATTGATTCCAAGGACTTCGAGGTAATCTGGTGTATAATATATTGTGCTTCATATCTACTAACGCTATACAAATTCAAAGCGCATTTTGAAAGACAGGTTACATGTTTGTTTGTTGTCGCCCAACTTGCCATCGTATGTGTCATGCTTTGCAGAACAGGTCATTGTGAGTAACAGTGGCGGAGTCATCACTATCCCTACTGCAGCACTTTAACTACATATATTTCAAATAGAGATATGTGAAAAAGGACCCAGCCACATTCAAGATTCCCAATGCTGTGTTTCAGGACCCTGAAATGACAGACCAAACACATGTGCAGACTAGGGAAATTCTGACTTCACAACGAGGACTCATCAAAGTAAAGGTAATGGTGCTCGATATTCCTTGAGTTCCTCACCATGACTGACAACTTCTCACAAGCTCATGACAAGCATCACAAATAAAACGAACATTTCTGTTCTTGCAAAGTTGTTATTGTCAAGTGGTCATGAAATAACTGTAGCACACTGGGCTCGGTTTTCTTTTTTGGTGAGGGCTGCTTAGGATCGATGTACTAAAATTGACGCCTATCTCAGCGCTCGTCATTGGTCAACTTCATACAGATTGTTGACGAATCTGCAAGGATCTCTGTGGCACAAAAGAGCAGAGAGGCATCTGCAGCTGTCGTGGACCCAGCACTGTTGAACGTAGATGAGGAGGAATTGTTAGGTGAGGGGTTTGGAGTTGCAGATAACACCCCTCGTATCTGGGTGATTTCTGAATATTGGGAATACATTGACCTACTCTTAGCTGATCTCCGAACGGAGTCTCGGAAAGCTGCCAAGGTGAGCCCTGTGACATCACCAATCACAAGCGAGGGCTACTTGAAAGAGTGAGTTTTTAACTTGTCGAGTATCAATCACTGTTCATCTATATTTTTTAGTTTTTTCAAGAACTGTCTTGAGGCAGACCTCAAACAATACTCAGCTGGCTGTGAGGGACTTAAACCGGCATTTGAGAAAGTAACAGTTAACTGGCAGCGAGCCATTCACAACGAACTGGTTTGGTGATCGTGCTTCATCCCCACATTCTTGACACTTTACTCTCCTTTTAAACTTACTATAGCTACTTTACCGCACCCAAGTGTATGCTTAATGGATATGCAGCTAATAACGAGTTATATTTTTCTTACCTGTCTGGGAGGAGCGGTGGGTCTGACTTCCAGCGATGTAAGTTTGAGTTTGTTACAGCCGCCGACATTGCTCAGGTAGTCGTTTTCATGTCATGGCATCGATGTTCGGTCTTGTGATGCTTTTCCACAAACTCAACATCAGCATACTGCAAATTTCATCATTGTAGCCGCACAGCTTTTGACCTCAGCCTGACCCCTCAGTACAGGCCACTGTCAGGTCTGAGTCAGTGTATACTATACACTTAATTAATGGTGTTACCAACGTCGGCACTCATATCACTTTGCCATTGGTAAGTGTTCATCAGCTCACTGCAAATTTTAACATCACAGCTGGTCAGCTTGTGACCTTAGCCTGACCCACTACAAGGGCTTAACTACCATCAGCACTTATGCTACTTTGTCATCAACCAGACTTCAGTTCACTAAAACTTTTAACATCACAACTGTACAGCTTTTGGCCTCAACTGATCATTTGATTGCAGCCATTGTTGGATCTGAATAAACATCTATCATATGCGCAATATCAAAGGTGCCACCCATATAACTTATTATATCGAATCAATAACATTTGTGATGTTTGTATGGTCTCTGGTATTTAGGCATTATCAACATCACTCTCAAAGGTTGAAACTACATTGACGAAAAACCTCCGGAAAGACCCGTTTTGGAGGTCAACCGGAGACAACCAGTTTTGGGGGTCAGATTGACGCCGACAAGCTCTGGGCGTGTAGGTTTGTTAAACGGTAGTACAGGAGCACAAGAGACCCATTGCACTGAAGCTTACAACGTGGCACCACTTGCAACTCCTCTCGACTGTAAAGGAATATTGCCTTTATTATACTACCTGCGAATATCAGGTCGTCCTTGCTGGTATCCAATGCGAATGCAGGCTTCGATATGCAGTGGTAGAATAAAACCAGGTATAAATCGAATAGAATAAAATGAAGTGCAAGACTCGAAACAACGATCGGACATTGAAAATCATTCCGGCATAGCGGCAAATCGAACTGTAACCAAAAATCCACCATAGTACAATATCGCGAGTATGCAAACTCTTCGATGCATCCGCCGTGCGGTTACGGTTGCGGGCCCAGGTCCGTCACGTCTTGGATTCACTTCCAGGAGTATCACTGGGCCAACACCTCCTTCCACGCCATGGTTCATCGATACTGAAGGTCCAGTTCAATCAATCACTAGGCATACTCCTCCTCACCTCGCTCCAAAAACCCATGAGCTTCCAGAAAACCTCTCTGCCGGGATAAGGCAACTATTTGTGCAGCTCAGTAAATCTCCTTTGCTAGAGCCATCGACTTTGAGTGTCCAACGACCTGTCGCCGCTCTTCCTGGTCCTCCATTACCTCGAACATTACCCAAGGGCCGCCGGAAACGCGGGCGCACATACTCTGGAGAAGGTCTTGTGGAAGAGCCTGGAGGTATATGGGACTGGGTAGTCACTGCTCAAGTGTGTACCCTACTGGCGCCTTCTGTCTTTCTTGCTAACCACTGTTTCGCAAGGTAAAAGAAGGCACTGAAAACCGAGGATCGATAGAAGCTGTCGTACGTCAAGTGCGAAAGACTGTGTGTCTGCTCAGCTCTTTTTCTTTCGCAGTAACTGAAAATTGTCGTCTAGCTATTGTCTGTGGACCCACCGCTGCCCCTTGCACCCAATTCTAAGCGGAGAATGCTCAATGGGTGGGCCATGATTGATGCAGGCAAATTTGCCGTACATATACTGAGCTGCGATGCGCGGCGGAAATATTTCGAAAGATCAGCTGCTGAGTGGTAGTTTGTGGCAACCACTACGACAAATTATGATACATCCCCACTTTAGTGGGAAGACTGCACTGACGTCGAGACATGTATTCACCGATTTGCGCCACGCTATCGCACGCTCTCCAACAGGCTCTCTCATCGAAAAACGTGTAATGCACTCGCTAATCATGTTCGGCAACGTGTACTGTCTCTATTTCATGCTGGAGTGAGTGTTTTGGGTGATGTATCTTCCGTTCTTGAGATTTGACTCGCTCTCGGATAAGGACGTTTTGATGGCGTTGACTACATCTTGTAATGGGTCAAAATTACTGTCCACTATGTGCATGAAAAATAATTCTATGTATTTTGACAAAAATGGCAAATATTCGAGATAAAGTATATATCAAAGTTCCCATGAAGTTCCCATGGTTGTTATTTGACCACCATGTCGAGCAGAGCAGGTGGCCTGTACGGCGGCATCCAATTCTCTACTGGCGCAACCTTTAGCCTTTCCTCATCATCTACATCTGCTTCGCCTGCAACGCCAACACCTGCAACCAGAGTAGACAAAGTCGAAACTCCCGCAGCTCTAGAGGCTATTTCAGCACCAGCACCAAGTAATACAAGCAATGATGGAACCAAGACAGAGGATGGAAGTATTGGAGGAACAGAATCTGGGTCTGTAGGAAAGCTTTCAGCCGGTATCTCCCCCTCCTCTGCACATCGAGTCTAGAAGCAAAATATTGACCGTTGCAATCATCATGCTACTCCTCCGAACTCGCACAGGATGGTCCGCTGCGCTTGCGTTCGCCCCCGTCCGTCGTGCACCAGCAAAACCCAAGCCCGCTTTAACTCGCCTTCCCATGGGTGCCAAGGCCCTACCCAATCCTGCAACAGCTACAATTTCCGCTGCCACGCCAGCTTCGGGCCTTTCCGCAACAGCCGTCGTCTTCGCTCCGCCAGAACTGGTAACTACGGATCAACAAGAAGAAGTTAAGGATGATACCGTTCAGAAGGACTCCACGTGGCGCAAAAAGGAAGGCTGGGGCAAGAAAGTCAAACCTCCATCCATGATACTTGATGAAGATATCAATGGCTTCAAGGCTCAGCATAAACGCAGGGCTGGCGGAGGGGGCGGTGGAAGGAAGGGGAGGAAGGTATGTATTTCTTGGCCCAGTTTGGTATCTTCGTTGATTCTTGATATGCAGAATAAGAATGCCCCAGTTGCGGCAGTATGGGATCCGTTGGAGCCTTACGACACTCTCAAGCCGAATGACTACAACGAATATAAGTTATGGAAGCAACGTGACCGCGTCGAGCGGGCATCCGAACGTGCGGCTGAAAGGAAACGTGCTCGCGAGGCTCTCGACAGAGGAAGTGATCACACAGGCAGCGACAGTGAAGGCCAACGCCCAAAAAAGAGTGGTGTGCAAACCAACCCTGGATATGTAGCAAGGTTTAACTTCTGGTTTCAGGGAGATTTGACCACGGGTCTTTCGATAAGTGGTCTCGCGCAGATGACGAACGTCCGCGTGGGCTTGGTGCCTCCAACACTCCGGCAGTTCATGTGGATCGCAATATGTCAGGGGAGGAGGCCTTTCAGCGGCGACTTGCAATGTCTGCTGGTGCCGCCGCTCGAGTACCGTCACCGACTCCTGTACCTGTTGATCATAACTTATCGGGTGAGGAAGCCTATCAGCGCCGCCTTGCCATGGCCTCGGGAGGTAACCGCCCGCGGGTGTTCTCTGCATCCGCTTCCCCTCTCCGTCAACCATCGCCGGGCGGCAGCGATGACGAGCCATTAAGCCAGCCACCTGCTCCCGTAATGCAGCCGGCACAGTTGATGGTGCCTGTGCCTCCAACGCGTTCTCCCCCTCCATTGGCATACAACCCCTTTGCACCGCCGGCAAATATTCCGCCGCCGCCACCTCCACCATCATCTCAAATACCAGTTGCACTTGAAGACAAGGTCAAGGCTGCCGCAAGTATTGCAGCACGTCTTAGTGCGCTTGCTGCGGCTGCAGGTGGGCCGGGGCCAGGATCAAGTCTACCTGGCGCACTACCGCAAGAAGATGCTCAAACACGGTATGCCCGAGTACATTTACTGTCGAATGTGTCTGACAATTATGTTAGCCCTGATCCACAGGGTTTTGCAGCTCGTATGATGGCTAAGTGGGGGCACAAGGAAGGTCAAGGTCTGGGTGCCGATGGGAGCGGTATTGTAAACGCTCTCACAGTCGAGCAAGTCGCTGCCCAAGGCAAAGGCAAGAAGGGTCAAAATCAAGCGCAGGGCCAAGTCAAAGTCAAACCAGCTATGGGTTCAAAGATGGGTCGGATCATCAATGACAACGAGGACGCGAAGGGTCGTGAAGATCGTTTAAGGTTTGGGGAGGCCAGTCGCGTGGTAGTGTTAACCAATATGGTTGGACCGGAAGATGTAGACGATGGCGATCTTAGAGATGAAATCGGTCAGTCTCAGACATTTCATTTGTCAGATTTTGACTAAATTCCTCCAGGCGAAGAGTGTTCGAAGAATGGAACCGTCGAGCGAGTTATTGTACATCTGACTCAACCTCGGCCGGCGGACCCAGAGGAATCTGTCCGCATATTTGTGTTGTTTGCAGGTCCCTCTGGTGCGTGGAAGACCGTGAGGGAGTTGGATGGCAGGTATTTTGGAGGGAGGGCTGTGCGGGCAAGATACTTTTCGGAAACTGCTTTCTCTCTACATGACTTGGATGTTACAATCGCTTAGCTATTAGGATTAGTCGATATAAAATTTATGGACAAATTCACGGCGCCCCGATGCATTAGAGATGTATTAGTCAGGGTCCCCTATCTATGTTTAAAAAGTGGCTAGTTGCAGCCGTTCCGACATAGCGCACGATGGGACTCCCTGTCCAAGCATCTCGTGAGAAGAGTTTCAAGGTAAGCCTTACATAATTGGTATCAATATTTACTCGGGACGACATCCAGCTGCTGCAGAAGCGTGTGCAAGTGTTGGAAACCACAATCAAAGAAATGCAAGGTACAAACCGACCTTCAACGAAGCCACTAACATTACTCGGGCTGCGCAGTCCGCTTATGCAACCATCCACCGAGATGTACGTGAGGCGATCACTCAAACCAAGAACACAATCGGACACAATCAACCACACATAGCTCATCCCACAGTACCTAGGAGAGATTTCAAGATACTTATAAACTCCTTGCAAAGTGAGGTGTCTCATGCTCATCGACATCATCGTGTTTTCGAGCATCTTAGAAACACTTTTTTATAGTACTATTAGCTACTACATCCTAGTATTCAACAATCCGTTCAATATGTCCGCTTGAATGGCGGGACTGCCTTGCATTCATTTTCATCGAGGGTCTCGCCAATGACACTGCGGTACTTGAGAGTGACGTCGGGCAAGTTGATATCGGGCTGTATTGTGAGGGTGTGCTTCATCCAGTGGTCGTCGTCACGCTACAGATAGGTTTAACAAATAGATTCACGACGTGTGATACAAACACTAACCTCAGGGAAGTCCTCACGAGCATGAGCACCTCGGGACTCCTTACGAGCAGCAGCGGCCGTGATAGTTTGAACTGCACACTGAAGGAGGTTGCGTAGTTCAAGAGTCTCAACGAGATCACTAAGATGAACGCATGAGCAAGAAATCAGCATCACATAAACATAAAGCCCTACGAGTTCCAGATCATGCTCCTATCCTTGATGCCAACATTATCAAACGATTTGTATATTTGATGTATCTTCTGAACACCTTCGTCGAGAGTCTGTTGTGTGCTGCGATGATCGTCAGTATCCCTTTTCATTCAGACGTAGTTGGTGGAACGCACCGGAAGACAGCGGCATCGCTTTGCATCGCTTTTTGCATCTCTAGCCTAATTTCGGCAGTAGGCTTGGGACCATTTGCATTTCTGATCTGGTCCAAGAACTCCACGCTCTTAAGGCCAGACTCTTCAGGAATAGCTTTGTGAGCTTTTCCGGGAGTCAAGGTCTCCGCAATATGATGAGCACATGCGCGACCAAAGACGACGAGATCCAGGAGGGAGTTTGCACCAAGACGGTTCGCGCCGTGAACGGACACGCACGCGGCCTCACCAGCTGCATACAGACCAGGAACAATCTTGTCCTTGCCATTCTGACCACAGCCTATGAGCAGGATGCGACCAGTGCAACTAGCCCAAGCTCACCTCGTCAACAGTCAGCACCTCACCAGTGTACCTGGTGGGAATACCACCCACTATCGAAAGGTCAGCTACAGTACAGAAGACAGTATAGTAGGGATACTGACTGTTGTAATGGACAGTAGGCAGCACTGGGATAGGCTCCTTGGTGACATCGACTCCAGAGAAAATAGCAGCGGTCTCGGAGATACCGGGAAGCCTCTCGTGGAGGACTTCGGGAGGTAAATGGCTGAGCTGAAGGTATAGGTGGTCCTTCTCAGGCCCAACACCACGGCCTTCACGGATTTCAATTGTCATCGAACGAGATACGACATCACGGGAAGCAAGATCCTTGGCCGTGGGTGCATAACGCTCCATGAAACGCTCGCCCTCAGAGTTCAGGAGGTAACCTCCTTCACCACGGGAACCTAACGCACACAGTCAGCCACAAGGCAGATATCTGACAGAAAGACAGTCACCCTCAGTGATAAGGCAGCCGGCGCCATAGATGCCGGTTGGGTGGAACTGAACGAACTCCAGATCCTGCAGAGGAAGGCCAGCACGAGCAATCATTGCATTACCATCACCTGAACAGGTGTGCGCACTCGTGCAGCTGAAATAGGCACGACCGTAACCGCCGGTTGCGAGGACTGTCTTATGTGCCCTGAAGCGGTGAAGCGTACCGTCCTCCATATTGAGCGCAATGACCCCAACACATTCGCCATCCTGCATGATCAGGTCCAGAGCAAAGTATTCTATGAAGAAATTCGTGTTGTGTCGCAGCGACTGGCCGTAAAGGGTGTGGAGGAGAGCGTGACCGGTACGATCGGCAGCCGCAGCACAACGATATGCTTGACCACCTTTGCCATACTTCAAAGACTGACCACCAAAGGCACGTTGGTAAATCTTTCCATCCTTGGTACGGGAAAATGGGACACCATAATGTTCAAGCTAGAAAAGTAATCAGCCAAAGAAACAAGTACGTAATATCTAAGCTAACCTCGTAGACGGATCTGGGAGCCTCACGACACATATAATGGATGGCATCTTGGTCACCAAGCCAGTCGGAGCCTTTAACCTGTGAAAATTCAGCTCGACTAAACGACTTGAGAGCGTGATGTATCAAAGGACACGAACCGTGTCGTACATGTGCCACCGCCAGTCGTCTTCTGTCATGTTCTACATGCAACTCATCAGTGAAAAGAGTATAAACTTCTCAAGTTACGCTTACACCAAGAGCAGCATTGATACCACCCTTGAAAATGTGATATGAGTGTGTCAGATACTGCTGAACATGGCGCAACATACCTGTGCCGCAACAGTGTGACTCCGGGTTGGGAATAACTTAGTGATACATGCCGTGTTGAAGCCAGCTTCCGCAAGACCGAAGGCAGCGCGAAGACCTGCACCGCCAGCACCACTAAAGGGTCGCATACTCAGCTCTGATAATTATTTATGGGTTCGGAGCGTTACTCACACGACAATAGCATCGTACTCGTGCTCAATAAGAGGGTATTTGCCTGAAGACCAGGACTTAAAAACCATCAGAATAGTAGAAAAAACGACATGGGAGCTGGGAGATATACCTTGACCTCCTCTGCCTTGACTGGATTAGACGCTACGACTCTCCTGACGGGGAGTGAAGTGGAAAAAGCGCGCTGATGATGAAGCAGAGCCCGAGAGGGCACCGCCTTAGACACCGACTTCCTGAACATGGATGTTGTCGTCGTCGACGGTGAGGAAGAAAAACAAACAAAAGACTTGCGAAAAACCCGATGAGCTACGTCGGGAAAGTTGTTGACACCGGAGGCCTTGCAATGGGAAATCACGCGCCGAGTCGGCCAATGGCCTTCCCACAATTGGTCAATCAAATTCCGTACAACCTCCGCCTACTAGTACCATATACCATAATCTAATTGCATTAATCCGTGTCCCAAATGTACAGATATCTATTGGCGCGATCGCCATCTCTCATAACCGCCACAGGCAAACAATCTACTTGAGAACTCCCAGCGGATCGTGTTGCTGCACTTCACTTCGGATCTTCGGACTTTGATCGCTTGTGACAGCCGCAGGCGGCATCCCACCCGCATCAGGCGTGCGTTGGAAGGGATTATTAGATGATAGGCGAAGGGGTGTCCGCTGCATCGTAATCGGCTTAACGGGGAACACTCCAGTCGATGACTGAACGCGATTATGAGTCGAGGATGCCATAGGAATCGCCTTTGAGGCCATCGAAGAAGAGTGTAATGGAGCAGATGTCGTTGACCGAAGAAACACAGAAGTCCCGGACGTGTTGGGAAAATTTCGAACTTCCCGCTGCAACGGTGGCAGTGGGTGCTCGTTTGTAGGGCTCGTGGTTGAACGTTGTCTTCTTGGTTGGGAGACAGACGCTTCCCTAGACTCCTGCTTGCTCTGACCTTCCAAACGCTTATTGTATTCTACCACCCCCCACAGACGGCGTTCATCAATCTCCTTGACCTCCCCACCTAAGATGTCCCTCACATAAGCCAGTGACTCGAGAGCTTCCTTATGCTGCACCGAAACTCTCGCAGCACCCTCATCCTTGGCTTCCGATGATTCCTTGGACTGTAAAACGCTCAGTATCCAAGTAATCGATTCACCAAGGCGTTTATTCTGCGCTCTCAGTTCTCGTTCCGTATCCACGCGGCTGTCGTTCTCCGAAACATGCCTTTCATCTGTCACCTGCTCGTCGAGCAAGGGATATGCCGCATACGGCGCCGATACTGTAGATGGCGTGCGAACCAAAGATGCGGCCAATTCGGGGAGGTTGCGCTATCATGCCACAAATCAGGAGGAGGACACTCTCAATATTGTTTAGGCTTACCCTTAGTTCAGACACCGCATTCATTACAGTCTTGTTGATCCCAAGGCTCTCCCCGCGATCCATGAGACCCCGAGCAATCAATTCTGGGAGCCCTATCTGGAACGAAGGCGATTGACGCATATGCTCTCCTTGCGCAGAGGAAGTTCCATGAAAATCTGATGAGGAAATCGGAGGACGTGCCCTCCGCCTCGTTTGGACGGGTGGATCAGGTACTTCCAGGGGAATATTTAGAAGGTTGCGGTTTTCAGTCATCACAACCGCGCCCGCGGAGGGTGTACGGGACATTTCCAGCGACGATGCTTGACGAAGTAGTAGGATTGCGTGATGCGGGGCTCCATCTTCCGCCTGAGAAGGAGGGTATCGCAACAGGTATGTTAGTTGCATGCTATAGTCCGATGCGATCACTACAGACCATTACTGTCTAAATACAACTCAAGAGGATATTGAGAACTCACATTTGGTTCGTATCCGTATAAGCATAGCCACGCATATCCACTGAGCGAGCTCAGAAATTGGGATTGGGTTCGCGAACAGCCCGTCCCATAATATCATCGCATCATCCATAGAAAGTTCACGAGTGAACAACAGGCGAAGCCATCGTCTGACAATGTGATCGATCAGATTAGCCTGAGAGGGTCCAGGAGACATGAAAGCACACACAAGCCATAGATTTGTGGCTCGATGCCCGAGCTCTGCAACACGCCGTGAAGAATGGGATCGACGGATTTCAAAAGATTATTTTGAATGTGGTTGCAGGCCAGGTTAATAGGTGACATATACGGCTTGAAGTTGACTTGACCACGGGCAGAGGACGTTTCAACAGATGACGGT